ACTTCAACATCTATCATGAATAATCTAAGTATAAAAAAAAAAAAAAAAAAGAAAGAAAGAAAGAATTCTAGATGTCAAATTACATTTTACTCTGTGTGTGTGTGTGTATTAGTTCACACATATATGCCATAGTGCACAGGAAGAATCCCGAGGACAATTTTCAGGAACTAGACAGTTCCACCACATAGATCCCACAGACTGAACTTGGGTCCTCAGGCTCAGATGCAGGTCTCTAGCCACTCAGCTATCTCACTGATCCCTTCACAACTGCATGTTCTTAACTGCCACATTACCACACACTATATATCCTATCTTCTATTCCCGGAGACTGCCTTATTGTGTCTTCATTTTATTCAATTTAAAAAAGCCAATACATTTGCCACTCAGTAGATAATTAGTGAAATGTTTGTACAATGAACTATGCCTAATATAAGAATGAGGGTGCAGCAGAGCAGTGGTGGTGCACGCCTTTAATCCCAGCACTCGGGAGGCAGAGCCAGGCAGATCTCTGTGAGTTCAAGGCCAGCCTGGGCTACTGAGCGAGCTCCAGGACAGGCACCAAAACTACACGGAGAAACCCTGTCTCGAAAAAAAAAAAACAAAAAACAAAAAACAAACAAAAAGAACTGTGACAAAATAAATCTTAATAAACCAGGCACAGAGTCACATCCCAGCATTTGGAGGCCAAGGCAGCAGTAGGATAAGGAATTCAAGACGTGCTTGGGGTGTGTGTGTGTGTGTGTGTGTGTGTGTGTGTGTGTGTGTGTGTATCAGGAAACCTTGATTAAAACAAATAAGAAACCCAAAATAGATGGTGTTCAATGAGAAGTAGTACTAGTTGGATTTCCCTTATCAGAAATTCCTGGGATCAGAAGTTTTTGGGGGACTTTTGCATGTACATATTTCAGGGATGGGACCCAATTATGAACAACACAACATTCATTTATGCTTCACTCCCCGCAACCCCCACCACACACACACACCCAATGCATACAGCTTGAAGTTAATGTAATACAACACTTCCACTTCCTCAGCATTTTGAATGCAACTCATCATCCAAGGCCAGGAGTAGAATTTTCTAGTTCTGGTGAGGTTTCAGATCTGGAGCATTTTGGATTTACAGATTACAAATGCTCAATCTGGATAGGATTTCACCAAGGGTTGACCTTCTTATACATAATCACAGATTAAAGGAAGGCTCCAGTTACCTGACCTCATTCTAAACAGCAGTTTCAACAGCTAGAATTTCATTGCTGTGTGGATAAACAATAGCTCAAACCTACTGCGATAGGTCTTGGGGTGACAGCTCCAGTATCTGTGCCACACTGATAACAGGCAGAATAATCACTAGTTAGAAAACGCGAAATAGTGCTTTTACAATGCACACAAAGTCAGGCTGGTGGCACAGGCTCTAATCTCAGCTGTCTGGGAGATGAAAGCAGGAGACTCATAAATTCAAGGCCAGCCTGAGAAACTTAGCAAAAACATGTCTCAAAATAACAATGATGGTTGAGGTCTTGTTTAGCATGCATGCATGAGGTACTGCAATAAAAAAGAATAAAAAGAGGCACAGCAATTAAAACAACAACAAAAAATGGAGTCAGAGTGACAGCTTAGCAGTTAAGAGCATTGGCTGCTCCTCCAGGGGACCCAGGTTGGATTCCCAGCTCACAACCATCTGTAACTACAGTCCCAAGAGATCTGACGCCCTCACCTGCTCTCTCAGGGCGCTGCACACGCATGGTACACAGACATGCGCGGAAAAACACCCATACACATAAAACACAAAAGTGAGTTTTTTAAATGTGGAATTGGAACTGCTGGGCCTGTGATTCACTCCTAAGAGGCAAAACCGTGGGGGGGCTGGGGTGGGGATTAGGTTAGCAAGGTGGAGAGAGAGAGCATGAGGCATAGGACACAGCTCAGGTCAGAGAGTTGGCCTTGCATAAATGAGTTTGCTCCCTGGCACTGCCACAGATAAACATGAAAACTGCACCCAGAGGAAAATACATGTTAAGGAGCCTGGACTTTTATCTTTCAGTCAGGCACACACACCCAAAAGTGACTCAGGACTCAATAAACAGATTATTCGAGCAGCAAGTAAAAGTTCTATGTTTCAACATAACCATAAAGAAGCAGCGAACGACTACTTTGGAGCCAGAAACTGGACGATATTCAGAAACTTAGCTATATGCATCTGTTCAGTGTACATTTTCGTGTTTCCATTTCTGTAGCCTCCCTACGGCTTGGAAGCCCAAGGCTGTCTGCAGAGGCAAGAGATTTTGTTTTCTGGCCACCTTTCCACTCCCATCCCTCAGTACTGCTGCAAATCGTAGACAGGCCAGGGGGCTTGGCCAGAGTGGACACTCGGACCCTGCAGTTCACCAACGACCCCGGGGACAGACCTGTCCTGTCCCCGTACCTACACTGGCTCGGAGCCCTGGTCTCCCAGAGTTGCGCTCGACCCTCACTTACCCAGGGGTCCCTTGCCCGCGGCCTTGGCTTTTAGCTCCTCGAGTTTCTTCTGCTCCTCCTTCTGTTTCTGCTTGAAAGCCTTATCTTCCTGCGGAGAGACAGAGCAGGTTCACTCCAGGCCAGAAGCCCATTCCCTCAGCACCCGCCCGCGCCTCCGCTCCCGTCCTCACCTCGTCCATCTCCTTGGCCTGCTTCTTGGGCTGTTTCAGGGGCTTCTTTTTGCCACCTGTGGGCGACACAAGCATGCTCGGCCCATCCCCGCCATCCATCGCCCTCCTCCTTGTCCCCCGTCCCTCCGTCCCCCAGACCCCACCCAGCCTTACCTTCGCGGCCCGACATGGCGCCTACAGACAGCCCCTTCTCCGGACCCCGATCCTAAGCCGGAAACGGCGCTTACTGCCTGCGCCTCTGCCGGGCGGCGGGCCCACTGATTGGCTTCTAGGCAGGAAGTTGCCCTCACGTCTTTTAAATGACGTGTTCTCCAGGGCGGGTGCTAGCCGGTCAGGGGTCGTGTGAGTGGCAGCCGCGGGGCTTACGGCTGGAGCGTAATAGGCTTAGGCTCTTCAGGTACGGGGCGGGAGGCTCGTTCTGCCTGGGGAGGATCCGAAACTAGGGGGTGGGGGGAAGGTGTCTGGCCGAAGGCCTGTGATCCTGCCCAGAAAGAAAGCTTGCAGGTGGAGGGGAGGGCACGTGCAAAGCGCCTCTCCGGAACCGAGGAAAGCACGGCTGGCTGGAACGATGTAGGATGGGAGGTGGCAGTGACATTATCACCTGGTCCTCAGCTTCGGAAGCCGCGGGGAAAAGTTGGGACTTTATGAAATAATGAGAGTAACTGTTTGCAAATTCTTTCTTCTTCTAGTTCATTCATGTACTATGTAGAGAGATAGTGCTCTGGAGTGGGGATTGAGCAAAACTGACACTGTAGCCAAGCAAACCTACAGCAGAGCAAATAAGTCAACTATGTATCACACTATGTGACCTGTGTAGCGAGAAAAATAGGCAGAGAAAGTGGTTTAGGAATGTTCCCTTGTGGGTGGGATGTCGATTTTTGATAAGAGTGGTTAGAAAAGACCTCTCCAGGGGCTATTTGAGCAGGACTTGAGGAAGACCGGGAGCCAACTATGAACAGGAACAGCTAACCAGTGCCAAGGCCCTGAGGTGAGGGTCTGCCTAAGTGTGTTCCAGTCCTTCATATGATTGAAGGGAAGAGAAAAGGGAAAGTGCCGTCAGAGAGGAATGAGAGTCAGATCCCCTCTAAGCCCTGAAGACCGACTTCTGCCTTGAAAGACATAAAGGACTGTCACAGGGTTTGAGCAGAGAGAGACATGAGGTTGCTGGTGTTGGAAAAGTCCACTGGCGCTCTGTTCATAGCTGACCTCAGGCTGGAGTAGAGAAGCAGTGAGACCTGTCAAGAGACCAGTAGAGATAGTCCAGCCTGGGATGAGGGTCATATTTTTTTTTTTTTTTTTTTTTTTTTTTTTTAGACAAGGTTTTTTTTTTTTTTTTTTTTTTTTTTGTTTTGCTTTTTCGAGACACTATGTAGTTTTGCACCTTTCCTGGAACTCACTTTGTAGACCAGGCTGGCCTTGAACTCACAAAGATCCACCTGCCTCTGCCTCCCAAGTGCTGGGATTAAAGGCATGCGCCACCACCGCCCGGCTGATATGAGGATCATTGAGACCACTGTGTAGCCCTGGCAGAGACAGAGGGGAGGGGCCCTGGGTTTAGAGAGCAATATACAGTCAAGATTACATATAACAATGTCTAGTCCATTAACATTTGACAGATCCAGACATTCTTCCCTAGAACAGAAAATCTTCACAATTTCTACCCACCATTTGTCTTCCCAAACTTTTCCAAACTGACCTTTGCCGATGCTTTCTTGTAACACAATGGTCCTGGCAATTCTCTGAACCAGCAACAGTAAACCCTTCATCCCAGGTAGCAGCATCACCGCAGTCACCAACACGAAGAGAAGGAGCTGGCAACATGGAACAGTAGCAACTGCTTCCATGGTCCTACCACTGTTTGTGGTTCAGTCCGGGCCAAAGCTTCTCCCAAGCCTCCTAGGCCAGCCTCAAACTTGGGATTTTGCTAGTAGATTGGATTTGAGATAGGAGAGAAGAATGAAGGCTTAGGGTGATGTAGGTTGTCAGCCCAGCGTTTGTACTTGAATTACCACTAAGCACAGTGGGGAAGAATATGGGAAAAGCAGTTTGGTAGGGAAAGATAGATCGCTATTAGATTTTCAAGCAGTGATATGGCTTAGACATTTATAATATAGAATCCTGACAGAAGTCTTGACTGAAGAAGTCACAAATGTGGTGTGTGGGGTGTGTGTGTGTGTGTGTGTGTGTGTGTGTGTGAGAGAGAGAGTAGGGATTGAACCAAGGGTCTTACACATGTTAGGCAAATGCTGTACAATTGAACTATTCCCCCAGCTTTTGAAAAAAAATATTTCTAATTATGAATGTGTGTGTGTGTGTGTGTGTGTGTGTGAGAGAGAGAGAGAGACAGAGAGAGAGAGACAGAGAGACAGAGAGAGAAATCGAGCTCAGAGGCTAGAGCCATCAGGTACCCCAGAACTGGACTTACAGGCATCTCTCCAGCCCAGTTACTATTTTTTAATAGCAGCTTTACTGATATAAAACTTACTATGCAACTCAGCTATTTAATTTGTACAATTCAGTGATTTTTTTTAGTACATCAAAGATTATGCAAATATTACTACAACCAATTATAAAAGTATTTCCTTTTGCTCTCTCTGAGTTTGAAACAGAGACTCACCAGGCAGTGGTGGTGCACACCTTTAATCCCAGCATTCAGGAAGCAGAGGCAGGTGGATCTCTGTGAGTCCCAGGACAGCCAAGGCTACACAGAGAAACCTTGTCTTGGAAAACCAAAAAAGAAAAAGAAAAAAAAGAAAAGAAACAGAAACTTGCTCTGTAGACTGGACTAGCCTAGGACTTGAGTCTTCCCTCCCAGCCTCCCAATTGTTGGGATTGCAGGTATGAGCTCCATGTTGAGTATGCTGAGTACTTTTATTTTCTTCTCCAATACTAGATCTAGCCCAGGACTTCTCCAAGCTAGGGAAATACTGGACCACCTACCTACATTCCTAGCCTGTGGCATTTTGTTTCGTTTCACTAATATATTTTTAATGTTTACGAGTATGTGTGTGCCTGCTTGGCCATCCATGTACCACATACATGCAGTGCCTGTAGAAGCCAGGAAAGGGAGTTGGGTCCTCTAGAGCTGGAATTATAGGTGGTTGTGAGCCATGTGATATTAGGTCCTGGGAACTAAACCCTGGACCTCTAAAAGAGCAGCAATTGCCCTTAAACCGAGACATCTCTCCAGCCCCCCAAACCAGTTTTTTGAGTTTGCTTTTGAGATACAGGCTTACTGTGTAGTCTGGATTAGCCTAGAGCTCACAAGATCTGCCTGCTTCTGCCTTATGAGTGCTTGGATTAATGACATGTGTGCCATACCCAATTATAATGTAAATTTTAAAATATTTTTATTATATGTAATATATGTAATATAATATTTTATACATATATATTTATTTGTTTTTCAAGACAGGGTTTCCTTGTGTTGCCCTAGCTATTCTGGAACTCCTTCTAGAGCCCAGGCTGGCCCCAAACTCATAGAGATCCACCTGCCTCTGCCTCCAGAGTGTTGGGATTAAAGGCATGCGACCCTTTATTTATTTATTTATTTATTTATTTATTTATTTATTTATTTATTTATTTATTTATTTTCAAGACAGCATCTCACTACGAAGCCTTGGCTAACCTGGAACTTGCTATGTAGACCAGGCTGGCCTCAAACTCACAGAGATCCACCTGCCTCTGCCTCCTGAGTGCTGGGATCAAGGAGTGTGCCACCACCACCTGGCCCCTCTAGCATTTTTAAATCCAGAAAACTGTATGAGGAATCTGAGCATGCATCTTGGGCTGCAAGAGGGTCTGGCCATTAGGGAGGCGAAGGCAAATGGAGCCAAGTGAAATGGCCTTTGAAGGAAGAGGGCGCTCTCACACACACAGGCTGATGAAGGGCCAAAGAGATGAGGATCAAGAACTGGCCATCATGTGTGGTGGTGGAGGTGATGTGGACAAGAGCCGTGTGACATCTGAGCAGATGCGCATCTGGACAGGGGTGGGAGTGAAGGCCATTGCAGAGAATGGGAGGACAGCCGGAGACGGAGTCCCGGCCGTCTGTCAGAGGATCTGATGGCCGCCTTGCTCTTCCTAAGAAGCACGTGTTTTTCATCCTTGAGGTCAGGGGAGAAGGGACAACTGGCTCTAGATCCTGGAAGAATGCTCGCCTAGCGTGTGCAAGATCCTGAGTTTAACACCCAGCACTGCCACGGGGGCGGGGGCTGGGCAGACACTGGCAACTGAGAGAGTACGCTAGGAATCTGTAGACGTCCCCCTCCCCATTTCAGTTTTCTCGGTTCGAAACCAGCAAGCTATCAACTGCAGGTGAGGGTAAGATGACCAACGTGTGGGGAGAGCAGGCTGGAAACAGCCGTCCGGTGGCAGTGGGAGATCCCATCTGAAAGGGCAAGATTCTGAACTTGGTCCTTAGGTTCCTGCTTGGCCTCTGTCCATCTGTCCAGCCTCTCCCTCAACCCCTCTCTGCCTTCCCTTCTAGCTGCTTTGGCCACTTCTCCAGGGGCTTCCTAGCTTTCCCTCTGCCAGCATCATCCTGCCTGTAAGACACGTGTCTGGATGTTCCTGGGACTGAGAGACAGGCCAGTGCATGACGGGGTGGCGAGGAAGGCTGAGAGGAGGGGGTAGAGCAGCGAAACAAGCTGGGGGTCATTGACACTTTCTCTGTGAAGTTTCTGCTATTGCCAAGTGCATGTTCTTGCTAGGAACGCCATATCTGGTACAGACGGCAGAGATGGTGGCGAGTAAGGGGTGGTCAAGGAAGGCCTTACTGAAGGGGACATTTGAGCTGACATAGATGAGCCACGTAGACTTGTGGACAAAGAGGGAATGTAGTTGGGGAGATGGCAGAGCACAGAATCAAACGGATCGTGCTTCATGTGTCAGGGTGGCTGGAGCAGAGTATACTGTGGGAAGGAGAAAGGGTGGGAGGGCCCTAGCGGGCCGGCGTCTGCCTGATCTCTTTATCCAGGTGAGTTGGGAACCATAGGCTGTGCTCTCACTCGTGTGTTAACTGACCCTTGGACTGCTGTGTCGGAAACAAGCTGTAGGTCTCATCTCTGCCGGGTGTAGGTGATGTTCCAGGGAACTGAGAGCAGACAGCTGGTAGAGGACAAGCCAGGAACTGGACTGAACGAGCTGGAGGAAGTTGACAAGAAGCAGTGACTTCAGGGAGAGATGGGGGTTTTGAAAGCTATAGGGAGATCAGAGATGTCTGAGGGCCTCTGAATTCGGGGGGCTTCTGAATCATAGAGTAGGATCCAGAGAGAAGGGAGCAGCTGTGAGTGCAGTGATACAGGGCTTTCTGGCATGGGTCAGGCTCTGCTGGGTTTCACCCCTTACTCAGGGCTGCGGAGGGAGATGGAGGTGTGAGGCAGGGCAAATGCAATGGCCAACCCACTTCTGCCAAGGGTTGCTGGGGGGAGTGGGTCTTGTGTTTGGCTGTGATGGGGCTGTAACCTGGGTTCTGTGCGCCCCGGGATTGGGGCTTGGGATGCTCACCCAGCCACTGGGCCATGAGCGTTGTATGCTGCCTTAAGCATGCTCCTCAGCTTTATGAGTGGGACTTAAGAGTCCTGGAAGAGCACCAGCTTGGAACCAGTGTCACAGAGATGCCCCCCTCTGTGGCTCTCAGCTTGAGCCCACTTTGACCAGAAGGCATGTCTCTTTCTATCAAGCTTTGTTTTCAAAAGGGCCCGAGAGCGCCACTGACGAGGACAAGACTGGGATGCTTTGAGCAAGTCTGTGCATGAGGAAGTCCTCACACCTGTGTTTGTTTACGTCTATCCTTTTCATGCGATCAAGTTAATAATATACAGAGAAGAAATTTAAATTATCCTGCCTTTTCCTAGTTACCACCCGTGAGAATTCATGCCTTGACACTGAGGAAAGAAAGAATCCCAGTAACAGTTGAGGAGGCCTCTTTGTGTTCTCCACATGCCCTACCTCGCCCTCTGCCCGCTCCCTGTGCTCTCTCTGGTTGGCCACCAGGTGTCGCTCTGGTCAGGGCTTTAAACTTCAGGGTTTAAAGTGGTTTGACCAGAGGACATTACCAGGTTTTTCTGGGATTCTGGGTAACCTGGCCCTCCCTTCAGGGTTCTGAGTCCCTTCTGTTCTTGGGCCGGGGCAATGCCTGACTCTGTGTATTCCCTGTCCTGTTCAGATCAGAGGAAGCAGGTGTTGTTAGAGCCCAAACGTGGAAGCAAGACTGAAAGGGAGCGGAGAAGCCTGACCTGCTGAGTAGTGGCCGAGGCTGGGGAGGAAGTGGGGGTGGGGGATGTGAGACAGGGACTTGGTAGCCTGAAGTCAGGTGGGAGGGCAGAGGGGTGGTGTGATCTGAACCTAAGACAAGCACCCTGCGGCAGGGAAAGCAGGCTTTTCCTCCGCTGGAACTGTCCTTTTGAAGGACGGCTACTGACAGCCTCAGTAAGTCTCGAAGTTAGATATGAGGGTCTGTATAGAAATGACTCTGGAAGTGAACTTTCCTCCACTCAGCCTTAGTTCCGTCACTCCCAGGGGGGCGTCACTCCCAGGGGGGCTTCGTTTGTGTTTTTGCAGTACTGAGGATTGAACCTAGGATTGTAGGCATGCTAGGCAAGTGCCCTGTCCCTGAGCTATATTCCCAGTCCTTTAAAAGCATTTTTACTTTTCGTTATTATTATTATTGTTTATTGTTGTTGTTTGAGACTGGGTCTCACTAGGTAGCCCTGGCAAGACTGCAACTTGCTATGTAGATGAGGCTGCCCTTGAACTTCAGTCCTTCCGTATCAGCTTCCCAAGGAGCTGAGATTGTAAACCTGGACCACCAGCCCAGCCCCCTGGGCCTTTGTTAATCTTTTTGTCATCATGGGCAACCCAGGTTTGAGGATTTTCTCTGACCTTAGCAGAAAAAGCAAGCACCAAGAGTCTCATCAAGGTCCCGTCAGAGAGACCTAGATGGTGGTGGGTGGGGGGAGGCTGGTTTGTAAGGCATCATGGGAGGGAAGGGAAGGCATGATGCCCTGATGAGCTTTTCCATAAATGTGTTCCCTTGTCCTGCAGACCCATAGGAAAGCCTGGCCTTCCTCCTGCTGTAGAGGCGGAAATTAGTCTGTTTAGCACTAGGCGTAGTGTTTGAGAACTGCATGATGTCTAGCCTTTCTCAGTCAGGGATTCATCTCTCTGCTTTCTTCCTCATAGCTCTTCCGATGACGGGGTGTAGCCCTGTGTTTGCCATGCAGCACATTGTGGGTGTGCCCCATGTGCTGGTACGAAGAAGCTTCCTTGGAATGGAGCTCCTTATGACAAGGACTCTGTGCAGTCCAGGTCCCAGCCAGCCCAGAGAGAAGCGACCAGAGGCTGCGGCCTTAGGGTTGTATCACCGCCTCCCAGCATTGGGAAGAACGCTGGGCCACACCATTCAGCAACAAGCAACCTCCACCGCCAAGGCTTGGTGGGACAGATATGAAGAGTTTGTGGGACTCAATGAAGTCCGAGAGGCTCAGGGAAATGTGACTGAGGTGAGGAGGGGAGCCAGGGTGGTTGGCTTTGCCTTCGTTTTGGGAAATACCTCTTGGTCTAACAAAAAAGTTCCCAGCTGCCTATGTGGTGGCAGCTGGGAACTGTATGGACACTTTGGTCTTTTGTGTTTGAGACAGGGCCTTATATATCCCTGACTGGCCTTGGAATCCCTATGTAGCCAAACTCCTGATCTTCCTGTGTCCACCTCCTGAGTCTTGGGATTACAGGTGTGTCCACCACAACCGGCCTTCTTCCTTTCTGAGACAGGGTTTTATCCTGAAGTCCAGGCTTGCCTGGAACTTATAATATATTCCAGCTGGCTGCAAACTTGTGATCTTCCTGCCTCAGAGCTGAGATTATAGGCGTGGGTCACCACACCCAGCTCAGACTTGTCTTTCCTTAAACATCCCTGGTAGAAATATTTGACTCTTCCTCATGTGGAAATCTGGATCTGTGCTGCTGAGGTGGAGGTCTGTCTCCAGGTAATTATACCCACTGCCCTGTGAAAGCCCTCAAGCACTGAAAAGTCCCTGGCTAACGACTCCCCTTGCATTAGACCAGCAGATCGTCCTTCGTGGACTGCTTTCCCTGCGGTGTGAAGGCGCAGGACACTGGGAAATGGCATGTTGGGAGGTAGACAGCGCTGCCTGTGCTTTTCAAGGCCTTGGTGCAGCAGGAACGCACTCAGTCACCTGTCTCCACTCAGATGCAGGGCCGCGTAGCAGGGTGGGAAGAATCTGGGCTTTAGGCACGTGGTTGTCTCCTCTTGGAAAATATTCGTACCAGTGAGTTTGGCTGAGCTGAAATTGCCAGGGCCATCAGCTGGAGGCTGGAAGGGATGCTTTGATGGTGGTACTGTAGGCCTCAGTAACACACTGGAAACAGTGTAAGAACATGGGTTCCTCGGGTGGTTCCCACCAGACAAGAGTTGGCCGGTTTGGGACAAAGATTGTGTCACTGTTTGCTTTTTGCAAGTTTCTCAGGGGCATGTTATTTCTGCTTGAATGAATAAATCCAGTGCTTCACGTGGGCGTGGCCTATGGCTGCATGTTGAGCGTGCCAGAGCCAGGATTAACGTCCAAGGACTGTGTCTACCTTTCACAGTGACACGCCAGTGACCTCTTTTCAGCTGCTGCCTTGTTAGCTGTGGAGCTGAGCCTGTGTGGGGCAGGACAGAAAGGGCTGATGGCATCTGACCTTCTCTCTGCAGGCAGAGAAAGTGTTCATGGTGGCTCGTGGCCTTGTCCGAGAGGCTCGGGAGAATCTAGAGGCGCAGCAGGCTAAGCTGAAGGAGGTAAGGGACCGTTTGGACCGAGTCTCCAGGGAGGACAACCAGTACCTGGAACTGGCTACTTTGGAGCACAGGATGCTGCAGGTGAGCCCCTCAGGAAAGAGCCCCAAGCATGGCCGGGTGTGGAGGCGGTAACCCTGACTATTGATAGAAGCTCCTGTGGTGGTCGCAGCCCCAGGCTTCCAGAGCCTGTCTGCCTGCTCTTCCCTGAGTACTGGGCTGAACAGTCCAGCAAAGTACTGACTGACACCCAAACTACTGAAGAGAGGCCGGAGGGCCTGGTCAGGGGATCCCACGTGCTTATTTCCTGTAGACATGTTCTGCATGACTGCCCGGGGGAGATCATGTGGCCACCTTTCATACTTCCTTCATTCATTCAAACAACAGCAGGTGTTGGTGGACCAGGGGCAGGGGCGTGGCTCCCGTGCCAGTGGCCACAGTCACAAGGGCCTTTGCTGCCGCCTGACACCACTTTGCTCCCACAGGAAGAGAAGAGGCTCCGCGCAGCACATACGCGTGCCGAGGACTCAGAGCGGGAGAAGTTCTCTCTCTTCTCTGCAGCTGTGCGGGAGAGCCACGAGAAGGAGCGCGCAAGGGCCGAAAGGACTAAGAACTGGTCCCTCATTGGGTCAGTTCTCGGAGCTTTGATCGGTGTGGCCGGCTCCACCTATGTTAACCGTGTCCGGCTACAAGAGCTGAAGGCCTTACTCCTGGAGGCACAGAAAGGGCCTGTGAGTCTCCAGGAGGCCATCCGTGAACAGGCTTCTAGCTACTCCCTCCAGCAGAGAGACCTCAAGGACCTTATGGTAGATCTGAAGGGCCTGGTGCATGCTGGGCAGGACCAGGGCTCTGGGTCATCAATAGGTGCCTCTTCTACCCGAGGAAAAGACATAGATGTCCTTTCAGCTGCCATGAAAGAGCAGCTCAGTCATTCCCGGCAGGTCCATTCCTGCCTAGAGGGTTTACGAGAGCAGCTTGATGGCCTGGAGAAAACGTGCCGTCAAATGGCTGGGGTGGTTCAGCTCGCAAAGGCCGCAGCAGCACACCCGGACCTGACGGAGCCAGCAGCCGGGGCCCTGCCCAGCTCTCTGCTGGAACAAGGGAGCATGATCTTGGCCCTGGCTGATGTGGAGCAGAGGCTAGAAGCCCAAGTCAACAGGAATACTATCTGCAGCACGCTGGTCACCTGTGTGACTGTTATGGCCACGCTTCCTGTGCTCTACATGCTGTTCAAGACCAGTTAGCCCTGGGCTCCCTCTTCAAAGGGGCCTAAGGGGGAGTGTGGCTTTTGTTGGTGAGATGATGAATCTTGAGGTACACAAAACCTCAGACTGACTGAGTACCATCTGAGGGGCTCACCAGCAGGTATATTTTATTTTACAGGTAATACGTACATTAATTATCAAAACTTTGTGCAAATGTCCAATTAAAATATCTAAGAATTTGTATTATTTAAACGAGTTTTTACAGCAGGGCAATGGTGGGACACGCCTTTAATCCCAGCACTCAGGAGGCAGAGGCTGGTGGATCTCTGTGAGTTCGAGGCCAGCCTGGTCTCCAGAGTGAGTTCCAGGACAGCCAGGGCTGTTACACAGAGAAACCCTGTCTCAAAAAACCAAAACCAAAACCAAAAAAAGATTCTTACATCAGACTCAGTTTTGTCATTGACTCCAGAACTCTGGGACTTGGGGTTCGGCCTGGAGTGAGAGAACTCATCCCTTTAGTTCCTTTCTTATCCTCAGGACTGTGTTGGACGAGGTCATCCCTGAGGTCTGGGTTCTCACTTTGAATATCCCGATTTGCCCCCCTCCGCCTGTTTGGTTTCCCTAGCCTGGAGCATAGCTGTCTGCCTGGGGTAGGGAAGAGAGGGACTTCCTGGCTCCTGTGCCTAAGTGTGCTCAGAGGAGAGGGAGGAAGGGATGGGGACGTCATTACAGACGCATGGCTTGTCTGCATCCCTTATGCTCTGGTCCTGTGCAACCTGGGACCCTCCAAAGGCCTGGGCAGAGTTCACACCCATGCTGGTAGCAGCGTGGAGAAGTAGTTAAAGGTACAGTGAAGCATGGGTGTGGACTGCCCTGAGAACCCTGACCTCCCTTTCCAGAGGGAACAGTGACCCTTGACTTCCTCAGCTAACCGGTGTGGGAGGCCTTGTGTAAACAGAATTTGTGGAGTGTTGCTCTGTGCCTGTTAGAGGTCTAGAACCATAGTGGAGAGTCAGTCTCACAGCCTCCCCGGAGTGCACCCCCACCCCAGCGTGCACCAAGGCGGTGTGCTTCAGCTGGGAGCTTGTTTGTGCCCTTGGAGCCACAAGTGTTTCCCACGAGGAGCCGCAGTGTCTAAACAGCAAGCGTGGCCCAAATGGCTCCTCAAGGTCTTTGAACCTCTGAGAACCTAATCTCTCCGTCATTCGGTTCCTTCATTCTCAGTATACAGTGGTTCCCTAGGGTGAGATAACCCCAGCACCTAAGGGTGTGTTCATACTCCTGAAGGGCCAGGAAGCACCGTATCTGTGTCCAGATGAGGGAGGCTGTGGAGAGTTCAGGCGCCCCTCTGGGATAAAGTCAGTTCCAACAGGTATACACTTGATGAAGTGGGTGTGAGAGGAGCGGACTCCCCACGTGTGAAGGGGCCTCCTAGAAGTTGCAGAAGTAGGAAGGCCAACAGAAGTGGGAGCCAGGGTAGACTGTCCCAGCTGAGGTGGGGATAGATCTGGGAGACTTGTGAAGCCTAAGGGTGCGGAAAACAGGCTGTCCTGCCGGATTGTCACAATGTGCTGATGATGTCCTAGGTGACTGGAATCAGGTGCTGAAAGTGGGGGGTGGAGGAAAAAGAGAGGTGATCTGAGACCTAGGGGAAGGATATTTTAGAAAGCAGGAAGATGACCCTGTCTTAGTCAGTTTCTACTGCTCTGATGAAACACCATGACCAAAAGCAAGTTGGGGAGGAAAGGGTTATCTGGCTTATGTTCGTCATTGACAGAAGTCAGAACAGGAACTCAAACAGCGTCCGGAACCTGGAGGCAGGAGCTGACGCAGAGGCCATGGGGGCGGGGGTCCTGCTTACTGGCTTGCCCATCATGGCTTAGCTGAATGAGCGTGCTTTCTCAGAGAAAGCAGGACCACCTACCTAGTCCACCCGCAATGGGCTGGGCCGTCCCCCATCAATCACTAATTAAGAAAATGCCCTACAGCAGGATCTTATGGAGGGATTTTTCTCAATTGAGGTTCCCTCTTGTCAGGTGACTCAAGCTTGGTCAAGTTGACATAAAACAAGCCAGCACAGCCCCCCCCCCAACCCCCTTGAGATGGCGGAGGAAGAGGAGTCATCAGCTCTGAGTCTAGCATCAGCTCTGAGTACAACCTCCTCTGCAGGCTTCCCTGCTGGAGAGCCCTCTAACCTTAGAGGCTTCTATATATATATTATATATATATATATGGCAGAGTTTGCCTTTCGGGATGCTGTGCCGATGGCCTTGAGCTAAAGTCCTCCAAAAGCCCTCAGGACGGGTCAGGTCCTGGCTCTACAGATTGCCTTAGGGAAGCCCGGGGGTAAAGGGCCCTCCATAAGGCTCGGTGCAATCAGTGTGCCTAGGGGAGAGAACCTCTGCACAGGGTTTCCTGCCCAGAAGACCCAGGTGTTTTCCACGGAGGGAGTCCAGACTTGCGCGAGGCTTCTGAGCTCTGGATGGCTCAAGGTGCAGGCCTTGGAGAAAAGGAAGGGAGACCCCACTGACGCACCTCGCAGCCAGTGTGCCCTGCTTTCGCAGCCCAGCTAGGGGTGGTATCACCCCCACTTGTGGGTGAGCATTTGGTCGGGGGGAGGGGTGTCAGGTTACACGGCTTAGTGATGGCGCAAACTCGGGTCCAAAGCCCGGGCTCTACTCAAACAGCTAGGGGTGGGGACCGGAAGGAGAGGTTGGGTGTTGCGGAGTCCTGGGTGAAGGAAAGGTGGGCAGGGCCAGGTGAGAAGAGGAGAAAGCTGGCGCCTAGGAGTTCAGGTGAAGAAAGTTGGGGAAGGATGGCCACAAGCGCCAGGAACTAGAAGGGAAACAGGGCGCTCGGGGCGCTGGGCGCGGCGCGTTGGGGGTAGTGAAGATGGTGGTTAGGGGACGGGACGGGCAGGTGAGGGACACGAGTCCCATCGAAGTCTGGCCGGGCGAAGCTCCGGGGCTGTATCACTACACCCAGGAGGAAGGCAAGCAGCCATGGCCGCGGCCTCTTGCGTTCGGGGAGTGGGGGCCGCGGCTGGTCCCGAGCCGCGCAGGTGAGGCCCCGCTGGGCGGGGCGGACCGCCCACGCTCCGGGCTAGGCTCCTCACCCTCCACGTCCCCGTAGCCATGGCTACCGCCGGGGTGCAGCAGCCCCCCCTTAACGAGAGGGGCTGATCATCCCCTAGGCCCTTCACAAACTCGGATCCCGCGGGACCGGAATGCGGGGTCCCGGGGGGCTGGGGCAGCGCACCCCGCTCTCCCGGCTGCTTCCGGCCTGACCCGGGCGGCGCGCGGGGGGAGGGCGGCCCGCCGGGAGGGGTGGTGGTGGAAGGAGCGGAGCTCGGGCCGGCCGACGCGGCTTTGTCTCCTTTGTTCCCAGCGGTGGCAGCGCCGCGGCGGGAGGGGCGGGCAGCGGGCGCAGTTTTCCGCCCCTCGGTCTCCGGGTAACAGCTGCGGCTCCGCCAGACCCACCTCCGGGGGGAGGGAAGGTCGCGGCGCGCAGATCCCGAGCGAGCCCGGAGCTGCCCGCGGACGCCTCGCCGCGCGCATCCCGCAGGCAGGTTGGGCGGTGAGTTGCGGGGCTTGGGCTGGGAAGGCGGGGCCGGGGCGAGAGCCGCGCGCACCCAGGTGGAACGACCCGAGGCCTCGGTCCCGCCGGGCACGGGCAGCCCGAGTGGCGTGGTGGGCGGCTTCGGTGCAGAGAGTTGGGACCACACTCGTGCGCGCGAAGGCAAACTCTGGCGGCACCGCCTGAAACGCGATTGGGAGACAGAGGAGGTGGAGCTGCTCCTCCGCGCCCCCTCCTCGCTGCCGCCACCGCCGCCGTCGGGACCGGCCGGCCCCTTCCCCGCCCTCCCAGGGCCACTGGTGGGGTCTTTGTCCCGTGGCGCGGTGGAGGGAGGAGGGCTGAGGATGAGCCGAAGCAGGGAAGTGGAGGCTCCCCCATAGGCTAACAGACCCTTGAGGCTGAGGCTGACAAAGGAGGACCACGAGCCTTCTAATTCTGGGACTCAGTCTTGGTACCGACATACCCAGCGTGTGCTTGATGAGCGCCTTAATTTATGGCGGGTATCTGGTAAATAATGGCTCCCCTCTCCCCCATAAACATCCAGAAAGCAGGTGTGCAGTGCTCACCATTTCACTGTCAATGAGTAACGCTCCCCTTTAAGTGGATACTGGGACGGGGGCTCAGAAAGGGAAGGCCAGTTTCCCAACTCCCAGGCAAGGTACATGTGCAGGTGCGGCTGGGCGGAATTTGTGAGCCCTCTCGGTTAGTGAGAGCAGCTACCGGAGGGGGTCAGGTGGTGCTTGCCCTTTGCAGAATTCAGGCACCCTTTGGCCCCGCCGAAGGGTTTCAGGGAGTGTGGGCTCTGAAGAGGCCTGTGGGGCAGGCCTGGGCACAGGCAGAGTTAGACTTTGGCGGTGAGCCTGGACGGAGCCTGAGATGTGGGGAGCAGGGAGGAGACACAGGCAGTCAGTGCAAGTTCGGGACGTGAGGCTTGGCTCCAAAGAAGTGTTTTCAGTCTGCTCTCGTCTGATCGTTAATAAAACTGGGCCAATTCCTTGTCTTTTGAGAGGCCAAAAGGCTTGGAAAGCAGTGTGAGCTCCTGTTACCTCCCACTGCCTGGGTTTCCTTGGCAGTGAAATGGGGGGCTCATTCACCATGTAGGGAACACCTGCTCTTCGTTGGGGTTGCCGGTTGCTGGGGCCTCTTAATTAAAAGTGGGAACTCTCCGCCTTGTCCAGGGTGGGCGGGGGCAATGGGAGAAAATGGTCTAGGGGTCCTGCGCATGCCAGGTCCACTACCACATTTACTGGTCAGAGCAGCCCTGCCTCCCCTCCCACCAATGGGAAAACTGAGGCACAGAGCCCAAAGACGGTGTGTCCATTTCATCTACCTCACAGGGTCACCTCCCCAGGAGTCTGGGAAGCCTAGGAAGGCTCCCCAGGGAGGTGATCACTGGGCGTGGGAGGTAATGGGAGAGGGAGGGAGTGGCCATTCCAGGCGGAGGGAACAGCCCATGTGATGGCGGGGAGTAGAGTGCAAGCTTGAGTTTAGGCAGGAACGAAGAGCATGTGTGAGGGAGGATGGGGATGAGAGGGGCCAGCCCTAGGGTACCCCAAAAGCTTGAGGACTGTGGACACTCCATTTTTGTTTAAAGACCATCCAGTGAGGTCCCTAGAGATTGGAGGGACTAGGGATGCCTCTGTGGCGTGTAGCTCAAGTGAAATCTGTCT